ATAAGTTTTTCCTTTCTATTCAATAAAACATTTCCTTTCGAAATATGAATATTTTAAGTAACATATATGTTATACTTAAGTTTATATTTTGTTCTATTTCCCTTTTTATTATATTTAAATTTTTATCATGAGAAATTGCAATGGAGTATGAAAATTTCCCAATGTATATCATAAATTTATGCTCGTTTTTAAAGTATTTTTTTTACGTTTGTACTCTTTTTTTTAAATTTTATTTTTATTTTTATTAGGTTGTTATAAAAGTGCTTTCAATTTTATTTCTTCTGTTTTTCTTCGCATCCATTCAAATAAGTTTCAGAAATAAATAATTATTAATTACAGAGCAGTGACAAAGAAACCTTCTAGAAAGGCGCACTTTAACTGCTGCTTAAATAATTGTAATTATCATTTAAGCTTTCAGCGCGCTTAATTTACGATTACGATGGGAAATTTCCATATCTAAAAGTCGCCCACATAAAAGAAGTAATTAGCATTTGTTTCTCTCTCTCGCTCTCTCTTTAAATTATCTATTTAAAAAAAACATATTTTGTTTTTAGTTTCTGCCTTTTATATATTTTCATGTTTTATTTATTTTCATACGAGGCTTCCTATCGTATATTATTACACTGCAAAGATATTAAAACACTAGTTTTGTGTTCAAAGTAGGCTCTTTGTCATAAAAAATAACCGAGCCTGACATTTTGCATTAAATAACGTCTTTTTTAAATATTTATTCATAAGCGTAACATAAGTACTGGAAAAGTCATTTTTGATCAGCGTAATGTACTCAAAGCATTATATTACTACATTGCATTTATTATTCTAGTTCAGAGCATAATAAAGAGAAATATATTTTATGATGAAGCACGTAAAAAGAGTATTCTAGACACAGAAAATGTAGTAATGATAAAATTAATTAATCCTGCATAAAATATATTGCTACTCAATTGCAAGTTATATATTATGTTATGAATGCCTATATAAGGAATTTCTTATTTTCAACACATTTTTATCTACCATTGAAACAATTACTTGTATTCCGTCTTACAAGTAAAATCCATTAGAGTCTTATCTTTTAGTTCCGAAAACGTTATTAATTAGTTTATAAAGAACATCATATATCATTAACATTTACTGCTTAGTTCAGAATAAATTAAGTCACTCTCCTTTTTTATATTGTACATTATCCATCTGTTTAGGTATAAATACAAATTAGTTAGTTTTAATATAAATAATAAATGAATAAGAATTTATTTGTGTTTCTTCAAAAGAGTTATGAATATCGTTTTGAATTGTATAATTCATTTGTCTCTTTCACTGTAATAGGTGTTAATCTCTGAATACTATGTAGCTTAAATGAGAAATTTCAGCATTTAATCCATTAAAAGTGTTATGATAAGCGTAGACAAAAAGACAAGGCAAAAACTAGAAATTCTAACCTGAAACCAATTGTAATAAAAAGTCAACGGTTTTTGAATATAAAAAAAGGTCAATTTCTTTTTAAAAAAAAAACTTTTTTGGTAAGTTATGCGTATGTGTGTGTCCCCTTGTATCAAATTGTTAATTTATATTGCATATAATTATTAAGTGAATCAAAAAGAGCAATGACAGCTAGAACACCTGCATAATATCTGATATGACCCACAAAAATAGTGCAGAAGTATTACTACTCGACATGGCATGGACTGGATTTATCGTTAAAGGTATTTTGGATGCAATTAGCGTCATGAATTCTGAAGGATAGTCTACAAATCCAAGGTGCTGGAGAATTCTTCAGAACATCACATTGCAAAGCATTTCAATAATATTAAACAATGTTCTTGTCTCAGGATTTAGCTAAATAGAAGTGTTTAAAGTAAGGAAGGCGTGTGTTCGTAGACCTTCTCAGTAGCAACTCTTGGCGTGTGAGGTGTCGCAATTTACTGCTGGTACAGACCAAATCCGTTGAGGGAGGGGAGGGGGGTAAAATGAACATGAATGTGTACGGTGATTGGGAAGAATACTTACGTACCTTGTAAAGGATCTATACGCTTTCTTCCACTAACCCCCTGGAGATTCCTTTTGGGCCATCGTTTGTTCAACCAACTTTCTCCGAGGAAAGAAAGCGTGATTATGCAAATAAAGTTTAATATATATATATTCCATATTCACGAGTTTAAGAGTTAGTGAAGTGAGAATTGAAGGTTAGTGAAGTGAGGATAGCTTGGATGTGAAGCGAATAGATGAGAAGCTAGCAAATCGGCAGTAGTACGTATAAGTTTTCAGTGTACGACGCGAGAAGTTGGAAATTCGGAAAGTGCCTAGTTCCAATATTGGAAAAGTGTTTAAGGCAACGTCTACAGAATTAAAAGATTTCAAGAGTTCAGGTACTGTGATCTTATTTCAAGTAGAAATTAGAGAGTTAAATTATTAGCTAGCTTCTAAAATAAAACAAGCTTTGTATAAGTTATCGTAAGGATAGATTTGATGATCGTATATATAATCTCCACGCCGTCTTGTCTCACCATCGTCCTCTAATTGGTAAAAGTTATCTTAATTAGAGTGTTATTTGTGTCTGTGTTGAATATAGAGATAAATAAACGATTGAAGTTCATCATGTGTCGTCTGATCATTTAGTTCCTCCCACACATCTAGCCGGGTCACAAGGAATAACGAATGTAAATTCCTTACAACCTGTACCAGTCAAAGTGGTCTCTAGACGTATCAAGGTCCGATTTTGCGACAACTGCACGTCCCATATTATCAGAGAGGCTCCACTAGATGGAAAAGTCATCTATTGGTATGTACAGTTCATGGATTCATGAGATTTTCATAGCTATACAGGTCCATCATCCTAATACGATTGGAAACTAAGTTTATCAGACCAAGTATTGTGGGTTGGCAGGTTCTGGCAATTCGTAATGCTTTCCGTCATGCAGTCAACAATGGTAACGAGTAGGCCTTTAGCTCCGAAAGCCTATAACAACAATGGTCCGTTGAACGGTTCGCACGCTGAGATTTGTTAAGGCCCCAGCACGGGAATCCTTGGCAATAAATATAAACTTTTAAGGATTTTCAAAATAAGCAAGTTGGATTAAGCCTTTATATTACAGGGCAGGGGGTTTCAAATATCCTTTTGATTATCCTAAATACAGGGGTGGCCATAATTAAACTGCAAGTGTTCAAGGGGTGCTGGAGCGAAAACCACTGGAAATATTCCAAAGAGATTTGGTATCTACACGCTTCAGAACATGCGCAAATCAAATATGCAAAGAAAAAAAATCGCCACCTTCACCCGATAGATGGCGCTGTACCGTATTTCAACCCTCATCGGTGGTATAAACAACTTCCAATACCGAGATACAGAGCGTAATGACATTCTAAGAGGTATATAAACAATATAAAACATTACTTACAGTTGATCAAAATTCCATACAATTCGCTTCAGTAAGTGAATTTTTACAGTATCATGTAATCACAAATTAATGTAAATTAAGATCACAAATTAAACAATCCATAAAGACGCTTTGGAAAACCATTATTTATTCAATAAAATTATCTCATAGTGTGCTCAATATGTGAACTACCAGATGCAACCACATGCTGAAAAAGTAAGACAGCATGATCCACCGTCACTTGCAATACACGTTCCTTGTTATTCAGAGTCATGATTGACCATTAGTCAATGTGATCGTGTTTTTATACTGTTCGATGGGCTTAGAATTTGTATATATGCTGTCGATAAGCATTGAAACAGGGCACAGCGCCATCTATCGAAAGAAAATGGCGATTTTTTTTCTTTGCATATTTGACTTGCGCATGTTCTGAAACGTGTAAACACGAAATTTCACTGGAATATTCCCGGTAGTTTTCTCTCCAGCACCCCTTGAAAACTTGCAGTTTAGTTATGGCCACCCTGTACATTGAAAATAGGTTTCGTATTACATTTTCCCAGTAAAAAAAAGAATTGATAAGGAATCATTCTATTTTAAGGAATCACTTAGTATATGAAAATAGTAATTAAAATCTAAAATGGTTTTATTTGAAAAATTGTTTTACATAAAATTTTTTCCAAACATAAAATGTGATAAATTGTTATTACAGATAATTTGGAAACTTTGCTGGCGCATTACATATATACGAATTCCTTTATGAAAAGAGTTACATTTTTGACTATTTTTGATATAGTATTTTAAGAATAATATTTAAAAATAATGCAAATCGCACGTATAAACTCTTCGACTTCCTGTTTTTTAAATTTTTTTTTTCATTTCAAGTTGCAGTATTAGAAAATAGTGCATATTTATTTATTTTTTAATAAGAAAAACATTCAGATTTGAAATGCTTTTCATCAAAAATTGCAGGAGTAATTTTAAAGGAATTAAAAATTTTAAATTTTCAGTAAATTAACTTTTTTTTGTAAACTTACAGAAAGCTACTTAAATATTTTTGACTCAGGAATAAATGTTGGCTAAATAATTAAAATATAAAAAAAATTTTAAGACATTTTAATCACTGTGTGTTTTTGAAAAAAAAATGAGGACTTGCTCAAATATTTCAAAAGGGAAATTAATGTATGAATATACATTATTGTTCTCTTTTTCAATGTGAAAGACAGAAAGATCTGTTCACAAGGATGAACCTAATCTGAATGCGCAACCACTCCCATTTAATATAATTAGTTTATTTACTTAAAGGTTTTTATTTTTAATTTCCATTTTGATAACTTATTTTCTCTTCTGACAGTATTTGTTTTAAAAATTTATGCATAGTACGTCCTTTTTTTTTTCAATTCCTGCTATTAGTTCACTCTCTCCCAATATATATATACATCTTGTTCAACTTTTAAATCGTTAATAAAATATTTTCTTTTCATCCATTCAAGTTCAAATACATTTTTTAAAACTTGTAGTGGATGACATTTGTTGTTAATACAGTTTTTCAAATATTAATTAATTAAATTAAAAATGCATAAAGTGACAAAAATAATAGTTCAACAGCATATATAGAAACTCCTTGGGTGTGTTCCTATAGCGCAATGGCTAGAGCGTTGGACTTCTGATTCAATAGGCGTGGGTTCTAAGCCCACTTGGAATGGCTTAATTTCTCAGACTGTGCTTTCTATTTTATTAGAATAATTAAAGTTAATTAATGAATTAAAGTAACAAACACAAAAAAAAATAGTTCGACACGATTTATCGGAAGGAAAATGGAGAATTACAAGGAAAATAACTTTCTATTTTGTCACTTATATTGTGATTCTGTAATATGTATATACATACTTATATTAATTGTAACTTAAATTTTCTTTGCTGACCTAAGTAAGAATTGACTAAAAAAATTTTTTTTTTATTACTTGTTTTCGAAATAATGTTCTAATGTGTTAACGTTTTGGGAAGACAGGTTTGGTTTTTACTGGGAAGACAATACAAAAAAGTTTACACCGTAATTTTTCCCAAAGTCCACTTTTCTTATACCAAAGGCATTTATAAAATAATTTTCCATACTCGCTTCTAATACTGCTTGTTATTCGCCTTATTTCATACCATCGGGGATTTTAATATTAAAAAGGAATTCATTTTAAATTACTTATTTCTTCTTCGCTAAGAACTCACAAAATGCACAGCCAATCCTTTTATCCTTCTTTTTTTTTCCACCATCGTTTTATAACAATATCAAATTGAAGAGGCATCTCCATCGTCATCATAAGCGCTTTCTTCAACGTTCTCATAATCACGCCGCCAAAGCTATAGTCCCGAAATTTTCTCTCTTTCCTCATTAAGGAAAATCTCCGGGGTCTTGCAAGACTTCCTAAAGTCATTATTATTGTTATTATCAGGAATATTATTTAAAAGAAAGACTAGGATAATGACGGTGAAATGAGGGGAAAAAAGGAAAAGACGAGTTGCAGTAGCTAAATCTTTCTTGTGCTCGTTTGGAGCAGTGAGTTTTATTAGTGGCAAACAATTAGTGCCGAAAGAGTGGTTACGAATATATCTAAGAAAGTTAAAATACCTGGTCGATATTTGTTTTCTTGAGCATGGCAACGGCATGATTTAATCATTTTCTTCAGTGCGTCCTAACGCTTTGGAGTTATTTTTTGAATTATTTATAACTTTTCGTTCTTGGCTGAGTATGGGATTAGTGGCGGTTGAAGCACATATTTTATATCAACTCTAAACTTTCGTTTAATTAGAAGAATTTTTCTTCTCTTTGATGTTACTTTTGGTTCATTGGTGTACTTTACTCTCCCTCTTTTATAGTAGTTTTTCAGAAAAAAAAGCGTTTAAAGAAATGGTTTGTTCAATTTTCGTTATAAAAAATTATTGTAGGTGGAAGTTACTGGCGCATGTTTTATAAAGTACAATTAAACTTGACATTTCGATGTAGATATTTAGAGTTTCATATCTTAAAAGCTATTGTTCCGTATCATTATCCTTTCTATAAGCCAATTAAAGCAGATTTTTCATTTTAGTTTAGATTTTTTTAATCGATTTAAAGACCAGTTTCTTTTTAACTATATTTTGTATTTTGTTCTTTTTTTTAAAAATTTATCATTCTGTAACTTATTAATTACTCATATCCATGTTTTGAATTATTATTTTTATTATTTTTTTTCATTAAATCAAAAATAATGTTTCCAAATATTTTTGAGAATAATACAATTTTCGTTTTGTTGATGTAACTGTTTAGTGTGCTTTTTTTTTTGTTTGTGGTTAAGTAAAAAATAATAGCGTCAATTCACTTTTTTTCAAATTTTTAATAAAAAGTCTCAATTTTTTATACTGTATATTGGGCGAAAATACATGAAAGCTACATACTAATAATCCGAAACATTATTCATTTATTGATTGTTAATTAACGTTTCATTTAGAAACAACGTTAAGGTCAAATGTGATGGATCTCATAAATTCTAACTACGGTCAAGTGGCAAAAGCGACACCTTATATAAATGACACCCTCCCCTCTTCTTTAACTTTTGATTTATGACATCCCATTGCATGAGGATTTTACGCGCCGACAGACTTGATGTACATCAACTTCGCTACACGATGGCTTCAGTTGAAATCAAGTCTCAAATATGTAACAGTCCTGAACAAAGCTGACACTAACTCGGGATTATAATCATTATATTACAATGGTCACACAGAATTCTTTGGTAGATAGTTTTTAATAACCTAACAAAAGAATCATAGTTTTAAATAAGAGAAATAAAAGAAAAATAAATCTACTTTATTTTTAAAAACAAATTGTGCTTGATAAAACTATGAAAACTATTATCCAATTAAAATTTTATTTAATAAAATTTTTAAAAAACATTTTATAGTAAAAAAATAAGAAATACTTATATAAAATTAATGCATCAAATTTATTAGTAAAGCCTCCTTACAACTAGAATTACGGGACAGAAAAATATAAAATATATGTATTACAAATTACCTGCATTTAATTGCAGTTTAAATTCTTACATCATAAATATGTTAATTTTTTGTTTGTGTGTGATCTAAAGATTCAGGAATTTTTATTTATATTTTTTGTAGATAGATTGAATGCTGTAGATCAGCGGTTCATAACTTTCAATTGCTGGGACCCTCCTTAATGTATCAGCCTGATATCCCGAAGCCACCCTCCCCCTCTAAGATTTTGAACACCCCTTCTTGTCTCTCAACACATGGATGAGTGACTTAAAGATTCCTAAATAATTCTAAGACTACCTCTGATTTTTATACAGGCTTTTTCAATGCTTCTTTTTTCCTTTAAGAAACCGAAAGCAACTGATTAAAAAATATTACATTGTAGCAATGGTTATGTAGTTGCAAACAATAAATTCCTATTCTTGATCGAAACATTTGTTCCAGTAGAAATTTTTCATTGGTGGCAATTTGGTGATCTTGTCTAGGATGGAACGTCATTCAATTTTTCCACAAGACCTTTCAGGGTCTTTAAAAGAGGGAAATCTGAACATGAAATTGTACCCTTTTGCGGACCCCCTAGAAAGGTATTGGGGATTCTCGATTGTCCGCAGATCCTAGTTTAATAACTACTGCTTTAGAGAAAACTACTTTAATTTGTTTTTTCCCTCGTTTTTCAGATTTAACAAGTATTTTTTTTCTTCTTATTGGGCTCACTTTTGCAAGACATGAAAGTTTTCTATTTTTAATAATAAAAATTTATTAATTTTTACCAGGCTTAAGTCAATTATATATTTTTTGTAATGAATTGCCCAAAAAATGAAGCAGAATTTTAAAATTCAAAACAATAATTGTAATTAAGTTTTCCTATCGACTTCATTCAAGAAAAATTTTACTTGGGAAAATAGTTCATGGGCCAATAGGAGAGAACAAAAAAGGAGGAATTATAATGGAGAAAAAATACAATTTTAATCTTTAAATTTTATGGCATCTTTTGTCTGAAAATTTTATGGTTGTGGTCAATAAGATCCTCTCCACTATAAGCACATATCACCTTAAATTTTAAAATCAGCAAATCTGAAATAAATTTATTTCGATTTATGAAACATACCATACCATTAGCTTAGCTAGAATCAACAAACTATTTTTGAATGAGAACATGGTAGCATTTTCTAATTCTATGGTAGCGAAGATGAGCTTACATTATGCTGAGAAATAAAATAAGGTACATATTATTCATTATTTTGGTAATAAACTATTCAACAGTTAACATGAAGCAAACTATATTTATACCAGGGGTGGCTAACCTTTTTGGGAAGCGTGTCACTATCTGATAAAAAAAAGTTATGCGTGCCACTTTAAACTTTTCCAACAAACAAAATAATATGAAAAGGTTAAAAAAATTGTTCTTATAGACTTATTATGAAATTTTTACTCAAATAGCACATATTTTATGCAAGTCTAAGTAGTCGAAATTTAAAAATAATATAGTAAGGAAGACAAAAGTACAAACTTAAGTTTTATTGTTAATTTTTTTTTCAGTTTCAATCAGTTAGGTTAGGTACGAAATAAAAATGAGTAACCAGAAAAATTTAATTCTAAATAACAATTAAACAGTCAGTACTTTCTTAATGTGGTTTTTCAATTTGTTGATTTTTTACATTATGATTAGTTCTCGAAGATGTTAACAAAATATGGTTGTTCTAGATGTGCATCAGTTTCTCTTTTCCCCCCTCCAAAATCAAGACAAAAAAAGCCAAAGTGTGTTCACAAAAGAAGATATAAGATCAATCAAGATTAGAAAAGAATAGTCTTTTCCCTGTAATATTAAACTTAAATTGTTTAAATGTCTTATAGTATCGGTAAGAAAAGCTAAATCTCAAAGCCTATCTTCATCATAGTGAAGCAGGGGCACTCGGCAGTTCATTGTTTTCTACCTGATATTTTAAAACTCACTCTCTCAAAATCCAGAAACTCACAATGCACTTCCTTCGGAAAACCAACGCACACAACAATTCAATAACACAGTAAACAAATTATTATTTATTATGATCTTTTCAAAATTTTCAATCTTTCAATAAGTCTTCGTGTGAAACTCTTACAACTCTGCCATGCGTTTGCCACCCCTGATTTATACCATCATGACACAACCAGCGTAAATCTTTATGATATTGAAAATGATTGATATTTTAGCATTTTTTAATTTTTAGCAAGGTAGTTAAGTCTTATAGTAAGACCACAAATGAAGCATTTATTGAAATTTCTAAAGCCCCCCCCCAAAAGAAATTTTTAATTGCCCCCAAAAAATAATATTAGAGTATTTTTTTTATAAAAAAAAATTCTTTCTGGGGTCATTTTTATCTCATCCATGATCTCCAAATTTTCTAAAAGTCGAAGCAAAATAGACCATTTATATCAATCCACATTGGACTCTAGGGAAGTGAATCAAGGGGTCTGTTGGCTCCTGATAGACTCTAGGCCTCCAAGATCAATATATCCATCGGAACTCGAAAGTCGTCCGTTATGCAGGTCCACCCTATCACTGACACCTGCAACGTCCGACCACCCCTGATTTACGGTTCTCCCTTTCTCTCTGTCAGAGACCAGCGAAATAACCATATTCGAATTTCCACCAGATCATTCTATTATTTAGCATGGCGGGCCTATTCGAAGCAGGCGGCAATG